AGGGGCTGGAAGGGGTGACAGAGATAGGGAGGCGGTTTAGGGGCTGAAGGAGGTGACGGAGATAGGGAGGAGTGTAGGGGTCAGAGGAGATTACAGAGATAGGGTTGGGTGTAGGGGATTGGAGGAGGTTACAGAGATAGGGAGGGGTTTAGGGGTTTAGAGGAGGCGACAGAGATAGGGAGGGGTGTAGAGGCTGGAGGAGGTTACAGAGATAAGGAGGTTATTTTTGTTCATGGCGACACACCTCTAATTGTCCTTGAGAGGGCAGTGGTAGCTGCCTTCTTGAACTAATGCCATTCATGGGGAAATTGGTAGCTGTCAGCAAGTAAATTCCAGGAATTTGATCCAATGACGGTAATATATTTCCAAGTCAGGATGATGAGTGGATTGGAGGGGAACTTGCAGGGGGTGGTGCTCCCATGTATCTGTTGCCCTTGTCCTTCTAAATTGAAGTGGTTGTGGGTTTGGAAGGTGCTGTCTAAGGGCCTTTGGTGAATTTCTATACTGCATCTTGTAGATGGTACTGAGCATCGGTGGTGGAGGGAGTGGATACTTGTGGATGTGGCACCAATCAGGGAGGCTGCTTTGTCCTGGATGGTGTCAAACTTCTTGAGTGTTATTGGGGCTGCAGTCATCCAGGCAAGTGGGGAGTATTCCATCACACTCCTGACTTGTGTCTTGTAGATGGTGGTCAGGCTTTGGGGAATCAGGAGGTGAGTTACTTGCTACAGGATTCCCAGTCTCTGACCTCGGAATCCCATGGTGAGTAACTCTGAGATAACAAGGTGTAGAGCTGGATGAACACAGCAGGTCAAGCAGCATCAGAGGAGCAGGAAAGCTGATGTTTCGGGCCTAGACCCGATATGGAGAGACAAAGCCATGGAGGAATTTAAAAGGAAGGATGAGAATTGTGAAATCTGAGATCTTGCTGTCAGTCAAGGCCAGTATGTGCATGGGTTGATGAGTGAATAGGATTTGGTGTCAGGGCAGCAGAGGTTCAGATGAGCACAAGTTTACAGAATGTGGAAAATGTCAGAAAAAACACTGGAGGTTACAAAGACGAGCCTCCAGAGAAGAAAGCAAAAACAAAGAGGCAAGAGATGAGCAGTTAATGATCAGTACAGCAACCTCACACCATTGTACTTGTTCCAACGCTGAGTCTCTAGATGACAGTGCAGTTTGTACAAGGGGCAGGGAAACTGCTGGATTGTTCCATTTAAGCACATGGGTGGGTCTGGAAGGTGCTGTCCAATTTCCACGTTCGTAACAGTGAGAACTGAAAACCTCATCACAACTTCTGCCTCTGCAATATCCCGCAGAAGTTACTGAAACACTTTCTTTGTGCAAGGTGGTACTTGGTGACATTGGAAGTGGCTCTCTCCTCCAATGACTGTTAAATAAACAATGACTGTGCTGGTCAAGAGAATATTGCAGGTTGGAATTTGCTTCCTTGGTTCTGAATTGAGGTCGAAAATAGATTAAAAACATTTAACCATCAACTGTAACGGTTGTGCTGCACAATTACTGATATAAACATTTATATATTCTGAAATGGGATATGGGATACAGCCGATTAGTGGAATGCATTGCCGGAGAGGGTAGTGGAGTCGGCCTCATTAGGGGCATTTAAGCGGCTATTAGATAGGCATATGGATGATAGTATAAGATAGAGGTGGAGGTTAGATAAACCTTAGGATTAGGGTAAAAGTTCGTCACAACATCGTGGGCCGAAGGGCCTGTACTGTGCTGTACTGTTCTATGTCCTATGTTCTATGGCACCATTGGCAAGACACAGCATTCACTGTTTATCCCCAATGTCCCTTGGACTGAATGTCTTGCTTGGGGCCATTTCAGAGGGCAGTTGACCACAGTGCTGTGTGTCTGGAGTCACGTGCATACCCAAAGCCAGGTAAAGACGGCAGATTTCCTTCCCTGAAGGACATTACTGAACCTGATGGATTTATTGATGATAGTTTCATGCTCAACTTTGCTGGGACTAGTTTGCAATTCCAGATTTTATTTATTGATTTGGAATTCCACAAGGGAATCAAGGATTACGGGGATAAGGCAGGAAAGCGGGATTGAGGATTAGCCGATCAGCCATGATCTCACCGAATGATAGAATAGACTTGATGGGCTGAATGTCTATTTCTGCTCCTATGACTTATAGGCCCCTTATTCTGAGATGATGTCCCTCTGGTCCTAGACTCTCCCACAAGGGGAAACAACTTCTCCATATCCAGCCTGTCAAGTCTCCGAAGAATCTTCTACGTTTCAATAAGGTCGCCTCTCATTCTTCTAAACTCCAATGAGTACAGGCCCAATCTACTCAGCCTCTCCTCATAAGACAGCCTCTCCATACCCTGGTTCGGCATTCTCTGGACTATCTTCGATGCCAGTCTGTCTTTCTTTAGATAAAGGGCCTAAATCTGCTCACAGTATTCCAGGTGTGTACCTCTGACCAGGCCAAACTTGCAGCTTTGTCAATAAACTAGGGGAAAGGCTGAGATCTCCCTGTGGGCTCTGTAACTTATGATTTCAACTCCTGGGCTGACCCGTTTATTTTAGAAGGGTTACCATCGCCGGTAAAGGGCAGGGCTGCACAGTTTTTTTTTTGCAGCTGTGTCCATGGGAAGGAATACTAGAGGACTGCATCCAGTTTTTGCGCCACAGTTCTGTAGGAGTTCACTTCATTGTCAGCGACTTTGGGATTGTGCTGTAGTGGAGACATTATTGGAGTGATGCATCTCCTTCAGCATTTGGGAGATTAAGATCTATCCACCAGAGATATTGAAGATAGAACAACTTTATCGACCTTCTGTAATGTTTAAATTAATGCTTCATCACAGATTTTACTTCCTACTTGAGATTTCAGGGAATGCAGCAACATCTGTCTGTAGCACAGTGGCCAATAGGGTGATGAAGATTTGTTCACAGACTGGGGAGCTTGTGGAACAATGAGAGTGTGTGAGAGATCATTTCATTCCTCTCTCTCAGCATTCTGCTGAGCTGTAGACAGAGTCCACCCACCAGCATGGGGGCTCACTGAGTGATATCCTCATCTCAGAGTCACAGGGAGAGGGTGTGTTCAAACCCCATTCCAGACTCAAGTTCAAAATCAGGCTGACATTCCCAGGAAACTGTCAGAGGGTCAGTACTGAGGGAGTGCTGCACTGTTGGAGGGTCAGTACTGAGGGAGTGCTGCACTGTCGGAGGGTCAGTGCTGAGGGAGCACCGCACTGTCAGAGGGTCAGTACTGAGGGAGCGCCGCACTGTCGGAGGGTCAGTGCTGAGGGAGCGCCG